AAGGGCCAGCCCAGTCCATGGCGAAATATTAGGTGTATTTTAGTTCCTCCTGAGTGTCTCCCTCATAGCCTTTATGGGAAGCTTCACATTTTCTGTTAGGTAGATAAATTCCAGGCCATTTAAGAATTTTTCAGGTCAAAACTAAGCATCTGAAGTCCACCCAGTGGCTAGCCAGAAGGCATAAAATGACTGAGCACTGTAGAGTCCTATGCTCTGCACTTAAAACAGCAACAGAACACAGCCCCATTTCACAAAAGCACCGCCTTCAAGGTCTCAAAAATGTCAAAAATATTTTTACCTTCCCCAGTCTTATGGGGGGGGGGGGGTAAGGAATGAAAAAATAAATAAATATTTCCTGCTTATATATTATTGCCCTTGAATTACACTTCCAAAATGCTTTTTTTTCATTCCACCCCTTCAAAATTTACGCTATCTAAGCACAATTTAAGGTCTACTACAAGTACGTTCTCCGGGTACCTTCTATAAAGGGAAGGTAGGAAAAAAGAGAGCAGGACCAACCTTTCAGGACACACATCAAAAACTGTGTTTCATACACTACAGCTTATTTTTTAAAATGGTAAAATCAAGGGATTTTTTTTTTTTAATTATCAAACAGTATGAGGATTTATAAAAATTAAACTTCCAACATAACAGTTAAGATGGTTAGTGAAGAGTTATCTGTTCTTGCCATAGCGACTCATTGTCTGTGTAGGAATCACCACAGTTATCCAGGTTTGTTTCCACTCTAATTGTAAGCTTTCAAAGATTAAAAAATAAGAAAAAAATTTCTGTTCACATGTGCAAAAATTAATGTGGAAACAGAGAATAAAAACCCAAAATCGCTATGCAAAGTTTTGGCCCTTCACTCTCATAAACATTCTAGTTGGACCCAGGCGCGGCCCTCCGCCTTTTTCCACAGAAAAGAGCACAAACACGGCTAGAAATGACATTTTCTATCATGTCTTCTTACATTCAGCATGTTTCTCCCTGCTTGATATTCACAGAAGCAAAACTAAAAATCAGTGCTGCTAATTTTTTTTTTCTTTTAGTAATCGTGACAGTTGTAGCCACAATACGCACTTTAGCCTCGCAACACCATTTCCCACCGCCTTGCGTGCACAAGGTGCAACAGCCCCTGATTATACTGAAAATTAGCAAGTAGCTCTCGCCTCTGGGACAGAGGTGGTTGCATGAGGCATTTTGGGCCTGTTTTCTTCATGCCAGCCTTCAGGTACTTCAGCATTAGAGGCCAAGCACAGCCAGCATCCCCATAGCACAGCTTGTTATGAGGCAACGTTACCTATGAGGTGCACCTTTACTACCCTCTTCTCCTACTCCTCTCCCAAACAAACTCCCCAGAAGAAACCTAGGGAATTCATTTTCTCAGCAAAGAGCCCTTGTCGTGGGGGAAAAAAACCCAAATAATCAACCTTCTAATTGGAAAAACATCTTGTCATCACTATGTTTCAGGTGTTGTGAGCACCTGAAGGCCCCAAAGCAGGCGTGGTGGACCAGAAATGGGTGGGAAGGCGACCTGGAGATGGCAGCCAGGGCTGGGAGGTCACGCCAGGCACATCCCCAGGTGCCCAGCGTTCATGCCAGCCCTCCCCCCTCATCACGCACAAGTGACATCAGGGCCATTTGAATAATCAGATTGCAGAGTACGTCACCTTGCGAGACACCAGCTGCTCTTGGACAGCAGCGAGGTAGTACCCAATGCCTCGTGCCATGAGTTTCATGGGCACAGGCACACGTACGCTATGGGGTGCCACCATCCTCCTCCTGCACTGCTGCTCTGCGAGAAGAAAACCCATCGAAGTAGCGATCGTGACGTACGGTGCCCTGCCTTCCCTAACAGTCAGAATTATTACAATGCCTTCTCCAAGTTTTGCATAAAGTGACCTAAACCTTCAAATATTGCAATAGCCTTCCCTCCACACTGAGGGGTCTGAATGCAGAAATGCTGCATTCCTTTGGCATTCCCTTGAGATTTCAATAGTAAGTCAGGAATCTACTCCAGGCTTATTGAATACTTTGCACCTCCCCTAAAATAATTCTCCACCCTTCCATCAAGGAAACCTTGACCAGGCCCCTTCTCTCAACCCCAGCGTATCCCCTGGTCTTGTTTTAAATGCTTCCAGGGGGGAGTGGAGGGAGAAAGCCACATACAGGCTCTCTCCTTCCTTCCGCAGCAGGTAGGAAGGTAATTTTGCAAACCTGGGTGTGCCCCCTTCCAATCTGAAGATCCAGCAAGGGCTGGAATGCAGTGACTACTGGGCCCAAGAATTTCACCCTGACTAAAAAGCCAGGCACACTCCACCATCTTCTGGATTCAGCTCGACTTTATGGCAGCCCTGGCTGACACCACCTCTTGACCTTCCTTTCTGTGACGAGGATACGGATTACCAAACCCTTACCCTTTCCTCCAGCTCACCTCAGCCGCCTCTGGAGAAAGATACCCACAAACTACCTTCATAAGTGATAATATCCACCCTCTGCTAAAAGCACAAATAAATAAATAAAAAACATATTCCAGGAGGTTGTGAGGAAGGGAGCTAGGACTCTCCATGAAGCAGCCTCGCAGCAGCAGAGGTCAATACAATGTATTGAATAATTTCAGCGCACTACCAAACAACTTTTGCTCTTATGAAGTAATCATTTGACCAAACTATTAATCGTACACTCGTGCTGAAAGACAGCCTTGACACATCCTTTCCCC